GTACTCCTGGGATTTCTGGCCAGCTTTATCTTTGGCCTCCTTGCCTTCAAGCTTCAGTTCCTCCACTTTCCTTCGAGCTTCCTCCTCTGAATCTTTTACTTTCTCCTGTATGTATATATATATATATATAAGTATGTATTTATCTACGTGCATATACAGACATATATCTTTTAGTAATGTGAAAGACAAGCTAGCTAATGAGTTTAAGAACCTTGGTGGCTTCCGCAGCCTCATCAGTCTTCCCCTTAGTTTCATCTTTCTTAGCAGTAAAATACCCCATCGCTCTTTTAGCAGCATCAGTAGCAGATTCCTTCAGCTCAATCAGCTTTCCAGCACTCGTATCTTTTGCCTCCTTAGCCTTCTCTCCAGTATAATCTTTACCTTCTTTTGCCTTCTCCGCCGCTATGTCTTTATACTCCCCCACCTTCTCCACTGCCGCATCCTTCGCATCCTTCGCCTTCTGCGCCGCATGACCTCCGTAGTCCTTTGCTTTATCAGCCGCCGATCCCGTCTTCTCTTTGGCTTTATCGGCCGCCGACCGTGCCGACTCTTTTGTTTTGTCAGCTGCCGAGCCCGCCGTTTCTCTTGTTTTCTCAGCCGCTGACTGAGTCGTCTCCTTCGCCTTCTCCGCCCCTTGTCTCGACTTCTCTCCTGCGCGGTTTTTGTATTCTCTACCTTTCTCCGCTGCTTCTTCAGATTTTTGTCCCGCCGTTTCCGCAGCCTCATGGGATTTTCCTACAACAGCCTCCTTGGCATGCTCGTAGGTGCCCTGAACAGCCTTCAACACGGAACCAATAACTCCAGGTCTCTCTTGCTGCTCCTGCTGCTCAGTCTCCCTCTGCTGCTTCGGCTCCATTTTTCTTTCTTTGGTAGGGTGCGTCCCCAATGGAAATGTTTTTATCATTAATTAATTGTGTAGGTGTGCAGGGGGAGGAGAGGAAGTGAGGTGTATAAATAGTTGGGAAGATGACACGTTGAGAGTGAGAGTTGAAGTGGGGAAGTATACGTGGCGTTGCATGCTGATAAAAGAAGACACGTACAGATTGCATGCAAACCGGGTGGTGACATCAGGCAGTTGATCAGCTTAGAGAAGTTTCCGGTCGCCTTGTCGGAAATACGTATCCTTTTATCCTGTTTGCCACGTGTCTGATTATAGGGTCGATAAAGCTATAATCTAAAATTATGAGAATTATTATGTTTATTTTGTTTCTTGACTTTTCAATGGTGGTTAGTTAATGTACCACGTTTGATCAATTGCTCAAACTTTTTTTTTTTCTTCTATTTTATAATTTTTGCAACTAATTAATGTATTAATTAAATTAGAGATTTTGATTAATTATAAGAAAAATATTTAATGTTAATCAAATTTTAATGAAAATAGTGTGTGAATTTCTAACCATTTTCATATAAAAAGTTTAAGTTAAATACTCTTGTAATTACCTTTATTAGTTAATATAACTTAGTTTAAAATTTAATTATGTGGAATTTGAATAAGAATATTCTCGTATAAACACGAATTTTTTTTTAATGAAAATAATTAATTCTAATTCCAAGTAATTTTCATCTATACAACTTAAGTTATATATTTTTATGGTTTATTTATTTATTGTTACATATAATTATAAATATATTATTAGAGAACTGAAAATATGAGCAAAATATACGTAAAATTATGATATATTTTTTAATATTAAATCATTAAAATTTAATAAGTTAAATCAAATAAATATTAAAGTCATTCATAGATAGACAATTTAAACTTGAATAAAGAGTAAATTAGCCTGCCGATCAGTTAAATTAATAGCCAAAGAATTCCTAATTTGTTATTCTCTGCATCAAATCTTTGTCCCACAATTTTCTTGCTATCCAAACAAACATCCACATTGCAATTTTACAATATGCAGGCAACTCATTGATCATCCCCCAAGAACTCTAACATTAAGTCTCCTCAACCAAACGGAATGCAGGATCATATGAAACACATCAAATCTCTTGGGAGGCGAATTGAACTCGAAATGCCTTCTCACCAGCAGCACTCTCCTATGCATCCTTATATACTGCCTTGATGATATTCCCAACAATATCTTCTTCAAATTAGGTATATCCTCAACCGAAACCTCAACCGAAAATGATTTCCAATTCAACACATCATTGAAAGGCGGCACGTAGTCCACCGATATCAACACCGGAACACAACCTGAATACAATGCCTCCACAATTCTCGGACTGGCAACCTCGTATCCGCTAGGGCAAATGCAGAATTTGCTGTTCCTCATCATGTCGTGGTACGACACACCTTTTGGCAAGTACTTGTGGACCTTGATATCTTCATCTTTGTCTTCCCAGTGCTCAAGCAGAACAGGCCTAATAGGCCCGTGGACACCTCCAGCGAAGAAGGCCAAGATGGGACGACGAGAAGGGGATGGACCACCTAAAAGGCCAGTCAATTCTCCGGTTTGGAGATTGATTTCCGGGATGGATACATCTTTGGTGGGATTGAATTTCTCCGAGGTATTGGCATTGCATAGTGCACGGATAGAATTCTTGAAGAGATAAGGATGGGAAAAGCTAGCTTCTGGCCCCTGTCAGCACGACCATAAAATAAATCACACCTAACAATTTTTATCCCGATTCAATACCATATTCAAAGATGTAGAACGAAATTTCTTTCTCTGATGAAACAACGACAAAACTGAAAAACTTTAAAATGTTCTTTTTAGTACAAATATGCAATTATAATATACTTTTATAAATAAATATATGTAGAAATACATATAACTTTTTTAAAATAAAAACTAAAATATATTTCCATGTACCAAAATTTGTCAAACTAAGCAGTGAAACTACAGAAGGGAGTAGATATAATCCTTACCCAATCATGACAAGAAAGCATGAGATGATCAGAGCCAAGGCTTCTATTCCAATAAGGGTATCGTCCGGCTACAAGATTGATGTAGTCTACGACAGTGTTTTTTATCGGAGCAAAGTCCCGTGAATTACGATCATAGACGAATCTAACCATCTTTACGATACTAAACGGGAGGTAGAAAACGTGTGCCTTCTCGGGATTGTTTGTGCGAAACTGTTTGTTAGTCTCAATTTTATGAATAAAATTTCCCTCCATGGAGTATATGCTCCTGCAAGGACCATCATGAAACAGAGGAGGCTCCCCTTCTTTGTACACATATATCTTAAATTGTTTTTCCATTTCCAAGTAGCTCCTGTCATGACCATGGAAAGTAAGCTTCCTTGGGAAAAAGAAAAGATTAAAGACAGTAGCACAGTAAGCTTTGATACAATATAAGAGAAAAATATAGTTTCATTCATTTTGATCTTATTGAAATTCTATTTCTTGTAGTTTTTCTTGGCTAATGATTTAGTGTTTATCATTTATTTTTCTCATTTCACTTAAAATAATTAGTTTTTGGTTTTTAACTTTTTCCTATCTTAATATATTTTAGTCTTTCAACAATTTTATGCAAAATAACGAATAATCGGAATATATTTTGCAGAATTGTCATAAAAAATGATTGAATTTGATGCAAAGATTGTGAAATAACAAATAACAAACTAACATGGTACTGAACTATCACAAAGATTTCCTAACATTGAATTCTTATGAAGTATAAACTAAGAAACTATATTTTTCGGATATAATTACATCAAGAGACTCACTGTTCTAAAATGTTAATCTGTTGACTGTAAATAATCAAATTAAGAAACAGTGAATCAAAGATTGATTTAGATTGAATTGAGGTTGACTTCTTGTCTTCTCTCGCTTTCTTTAAAATAGTGAATATGATAGTTACTAATGTGGGGACCAAAAAACATGATAGAGAACATGTCCACTAATAAAAAAAACGCATATGAAGGATTAAAGAATAGCCCAAATATTTCGAAAATTTAAATATTTTTTTTGCTATTTTTAGGTAATGACTTTGATAAGTTACTTCAATGAAAAACTAAGCCGAACACAGTTTTATCATTTTCTTACATCTAAATGGATCATCTCTCCCCACCATTCTTGAATGAAGGACTTCCTAAAAACGAGTTCAAAATCTCACATTCATAATTAGAACTAAAGAAATCTCAACCACTATTCTGAGTCCTGAAACAGACAATTGATAGTACTTACATGTATATATAGATAGATATGGACATTTTCATTTTTGTACTGAAGCAGAAAGTAAACCAAGATTTGCCATAAGAGAGAAGAGGAATGGAGATATTGAAAGACGATAATGGGTGTAGGGTAGGCGTACCTGTGAAAGGCTTTGGCATCCCTGTAAATGGGACCTATAGGGACATAGTCAGGATCCTCTAATGGATGGTAGCCAGATATGGAAGCTTCTTTAATGGCAGCTCGAGCTCTCTGTAGTCCGGCTTCAAGCCTTTGCAAGCTGGTACGCACCGTTTCTCTATTGGGTTTCATGGGATTAGCGTGAGATTCATTCAATAGAGAATCGGTGGGGCTTGAGGTTCCATTCGTGGTAACCGTCGTCTCTTCCTTATTTCTTTCCGTTTTCTGCAGTCAAAATCCTTTTAATTGAATCATGGAAAGCATGAAAGTTATAAATTTGAAAATTCAACTATTTCCCTAATTAACAACTAAATAAATAAGCAGGTGGACCCATTAATTCCATACCGGGTCTGGTAAGCTTGCCGGCAACTTATACTTGGTTTATCCCATTAATCGATTTTTTGTTAATTAGAAAAAAATAAAACAGATTTGAAGGATTTTTTCTTAAGTAGTTCTGATACTCAATTAATGTAAATAATTACAAATCTCTCATGCCAAATGTACAGAGAAAATTAATTAATAACCCAGATATTTTTCCAAATTAAATAAAAAAGATTCAGGAAGCACATTCTATTTGGTAAAATAAATAAATTGAAACTACTTTCTCTCGTGAACTTAAACGGCTTTTTCTTTTCTTAATGACTTTTGTATTTCCAAGATAAATAATAATTACTCATTTCATGCCAAATTCCCCAACAAAAAAGCGTAGCCCAGTAATTACGAGTTGGGTTTAGTTTGGGATTAGTAGAACTTCTTTTCACCAAACAAAGAATTAAACAGAAATTTGATTAACCACAAATCAAGAAAGACAAAAAAAAAAAAAAATCAAAATCAAGAAATCAAATCTTCGAAAACTTGCTAGTGATCTTACAGTATCAGTAAGTTGTCGATCTTGATCATCGTCGACGGCCGGAAGAAGAGAAGAAGAAGTTTGGTTAACGACCGAAGCCTCGCTAGAATTGAGACCTTCGGCTTCTGCCGTTCTGTGATCTTCAATCATGACCAACCCTGAAGCACCCAATTCCACAACCACCCCATCGTCACTGTCCTTAGCACCATAATTTGTTGCAGAAGCAGAAGAAGAATGGAGGGATGTAGAAACAGGAAGATAATTGAGTTTTGTTGGATCCAAGACAAAGACAAATCCGAGCAACACTATAAATGGAGCCATGAAGATCAAAAGCTTGACAGAAGAAGACGAAGAACAGCTCAGACATGCAAAGCGACTATATGAATGATCTCCCATCTGTAAATGATTGCTATTCATCGCTCTGTAACGTTGATGTTTTCCAATGAGTGATTCTTCTCTTTTTTTTTTTGATGTTTACTAAAAGAGGAGAAGATGGTAGAGGAAGAAGAAGAATAAGAGCAACATTTGGTCGTCAGTGGTTGCGTCTTCACGCCAAGCGTCCACCCTATATCTGGATTCCGCATGCAAACTCTTCGTTTTCCCATTTTTACCCTTCCAACGCTCACCGTTTTATTTTTATGGCTTCTTCGATTGTGCTACGCGCGTCTGGTTCCGAACGCCTTACACGCTCCTCATACGATGCGTTTTGGTTCCTCCTTGGTTGTGCTGCATCGGCTGATTAGAGTTAAAAATATAGAGTGGGACTTCACTCCCTAAATGAGTGCTCTCGATCAATTTTTTCCAGTGACTCAAGATTTTAACCTGTGCTGTGGCCCTAAAAATGGGGGAATATTTGCTTTTGAAATGAATTCATACGAGTTTAGTATTTTGTTTATAAATTATAAATTATAAATTTAAATATTACACATAAAATTTGTTATTTATGAATTTATCATAATTATAAATTTAATTTATTAATAAATCAGTTTAATTACAATCATGAAACTGAATTAAATTTTAATAATTTTATTATATTTTTAAATAAAATAAATATTTTATAATAATTAATTTTTTTAATGAGATAATCGTAATAAATTAAAAGTTCAATGTAAACATTTAATTCATTACCAAAAAAAAAAAAAACAAAGAATTAAACTTCAATCACTTATATTTTAATCCAAACATAAAATAAAAGTTGAATTGTTTTAGTAAGTTTCTTTTAAAAGTAATTTTAAGAAGGTGAAAAATACATGCTATACTTTTAAATTTTTTTAAAGATTCACTTAATTATCTTTTTAATATAATTTTAAATTAACAATATGTTCATAAAATAATTAAATAATAAAATCTATATTATAAACATATATATTTTATTAATTTTTTTATAATTTATTTTTATCTAAATGAATAAATATTTTATTTTCTTTATGTAATTAAAAATTATCTGTCTTAAATTATTTAAAAAATCATCCTACTTTAAACTTGATTCCTTAACAATTTCAAATAAGTTACTAAATATACTTATAAAATTAGTTATTAAGTAAACATTTTGTAGAATGGTTATACAAATTTCTTTTATTAATGAAACACTTACAAATAATTTAAATATATATTTTTAGTTATTCCACGTAAAAAAAAAAAACATTTAATTAGGATTAATAGTAATTGTTTACTTATAACATATAATATCATTAATTACATCATCTATATCATTATTAATAAATAAATAAATAAGTTTAGATTAAATATTAGAATGATTACCTCATTAGTATGATTCATTATTCTATTTATACTTATTAAAATCAAATCACACTAAAGAATTAATCACTCTTTAACTTAAATTATAAATTCGAATATATATTTATTTACTCAAAAAATTGTATTAAATGAAAACAACTAAGTTACAAATCTTTAATGTGGGAATGGCAAGTTCAATTAAGCAATCTTTTATTTCTAAAGTATTCTTTTTTATGGTTCTACAAAATATTCTATACGTGGAAATCGGTGATATATACACTAAAGTTGCCGTTAAAGAAGAACCGCCGTCTATAATGGTGAAAACGGTCCCCCCTTCATGCATGTGTTTTCGGTACCCAATCATACATTCATCGCCTCTCATTTATTTCACCGATTAGATTCAGTCATTTTTCATCTTTTTTTTTTTTAAAAAAAAACTTTTGAAATCCTTAAATAATCTATTTCAATAATTTCTAAGAGATTATAAATTCCAATCAAGGTTTGTATTCTGATTAAGAGAATAATTTTGACAAATAAATTGTGTTATTTCCTTTTTAAATAAACACTAATACATATTCTATATGGAAGTGAGAAAATTATGAAAATTATTAAATCAGTCGTCATCCTGTTCAATTATGAAAAGCACGGACAGATGAAACAGGGGAACCAAACAGGAGAAAATCGAAGTGCCATGCAAGATGAGACCATGAAGAAAACAAGAAGGAACATGAAAATTAAAGGGAAAAAAAAAAAAGAGGTAATATAAATACCTTTTAAGTCATGACGCATGCAAGCGGCTCCACGCAGAGAAAGCAGAAGAAGCAGATGACGAGAAGAAATCATCGTTATCCTTTTTCCCTCTGTTTTACTGTGCGAAGGCTTAATTAATTGCAAAGCCGCTAACATTTTCCGCCACAGCAAGTATAATGCATTTACAACTATTATTTCCAGAAACAAAACCTCTACACTTAATGTTATATATATAAAAAGAACTCACCGAATATGAGGGCATCTACACAAGAACCACGAAGAAGTTGGAGTAGAGATTCGCTGGAGATGCCGATTCTCCGGAGAGACTGCTTATTTGCTCGTGTGTGATTGGGAGAGAGAATGACTGAGAAGGAAAGAGAGATCAGAGTACTACGGATTTGAATGACGGCTAGTAGCGACAGAGAAAGAAAGGCGCTAAAATTAAAATTCCGCTTCCACATCCCGCCTGTCTGTATATGCCACGGTGTCCCATTTTATTTATTTATTTATATATTTTTTGCCATTTTAATACATTGTGGTTATTTGCATTTTATATTACTTTTTATTATAATTTCTAGAATTATTTTTATTTAAAAATATATCTAAACTATATTAAGAAAAAAAACTAAAATATACTTGCACAAAGATATTAACCATCTTCAGCTTGGAAGATTATTATTCTAGTTTTGTATTATTGAGTATTTTAATATTTTTATTAATATATTTAAATTTCAAAAATAATATATAAAAGTTAGTCATGAGAGAGGATAATCACTTTTATCATATACACATTTGATTATTAGATAATTGCAGATAAAAGAATTTACAAGTAAGAAACAGATAAAGAAAAGGTGACTTTGAATTATTGTCTGAAAAAATTATATACAGGTAGATTTTCAATAAGTAAAGCTTTCCTTTTGACTTGGGAATGAGGTGAGAAAGAACACATTACATATATATATATATATATATAGAACACAGCAGAGCACATGGTCATCAGGGGCAGACTGATTACCAGTGATCCTTACACGAGCATTGACCATTTACAAAATGATGAAACCCTGATGAATCCCTCACAAAGATATCTCTCCTGGTGACAATCGAGACATATTTCAAGAATGTATGACAGTCTCCGCAAATGAGGATGTTCTTCATTATCCGAACTGGTTCTCTTGTACTCGTCATCAGAAGACCATAGGTTGCAGCTAATTTTGCACTGTGATAGAACAAGAAATTCTTCTTTTGATGCTCCTCTACTTCTTGCAGAACAAAGCTTGTGTCTGGAACATATCCAGCTTTTAGACATTCTAGTATTAGTATGTCTAATCCGCTATAGATGTCTTTCTCCTGTGGATGGGATTTATCCCTAGTGTAAAATGAATGCACCTTGTTTCGATGAATTATCCAACTTCGAGCTGGATGCTTCCGAAACCCTTTTTCTCTCATAACCTGTCTGACAACTTCAGAATAGTGCCATCTTCCAGATGCAGAATAGAGGTTTGATACAAGTATATATGTAGAAGGATCTTGTGGCTCCAAAGCAAGTATATGCTTCGCAACCCTCTTTCCAATGGTTATGTTTAAGTGAATTCGACAGCCATCAAGCAAAGCTCTCAAAACAGAAGCATCAGGCTTAAAAGGCATCTTCCTGATAATTTCTTCAGCTTCATCAAGAAGACCCCAGTGCCCTAAAACACCCACTAAAGAGGCATAATGCTCCAAAGTAGGGTCAATTCCATAATTATTTTTCATTGAGTGAAACAGCTTAAGACAGCTAGCAACCAAATTCGACTCTGTGTGTCTATATGCGGAAATAACTAAGGCAAAAGATACAGCATCAGACTTAATTTCTAATTCCTTCATCCTTGACCAGATGACCAAGGCCTCATCACCCTGCCTGTGAACTAGATGTCCAGCAATTAAACTATTCCATGAAACAATGTCCTGTTTGGGCATAATATTGAAAGCCTTAATTGCATTATCGATGTTGCAACACTTGGAATACATGCTAATCACGGAATTCCCAACGCCTACATCAGATAGAAGTCCAGCTTTAAGAGCATAGCAATGAATTTGCTCCCCCATCTCATGAAACCCCAAAGTTCCACAGACAGAAAGTATTGAAGTCACAGAAACTTCATCCACAATCATGTTCCCTTCTGCCTGACAGTGATGGAAAAGAGAAAGTGCATCATCTGGTAAACCATTGCGAGCATATCCACTTACCATTGATGTACAGATAATCGAGTTGTTCCAATCAGATGGCCACCTGCAAAAGATCCTTTCGGCATCTGACATCCTGCCACACTTTGTACACATGTCCAGCAATGCTGCTTCAATTCGAGCATTTGATCCAAAACCAAACTTCATACAGAATCCATGGATCTGCTCACTTATGCTGCTCTCCATAAGCAATCCGCAAGCACGGACAACACTGGTCAAAGTGAAGTCCGTTAACTCTAAACCATTTTCCACCATATTAACAAATAACTCCAATGATTTCAAGCCTTCTCCATTTCGACAAAACCCTGCCAAAAGAGCATTATAAGAAACACAATTCTTCTCGGGCATCTTCTCAAATATCTCCACTGCCATGTCCAGTAAGCCAAACTCCATATAAGCTGTAACCATCTCTGTCCAAGTAATAACGTCTTTCACCTGCATCCTCTCAAACAACGTCACCACATCTTTCACCTTGCCACATTCGGAATAGAACCCTATAAGTGCATTGTTCACACTCAAATTGGCCTCTAACCCGATTCTAATAGCATGTGCATGAACTTCTTGGCCTTTCATGAAAGAATTGGTGCCGGCACATGCAGTTAAAAGGGCGGAAAGAGTAAAACAATCAAGCCTAAACCCAATATTTCGTTGCATATCCTGAAACAAATCAAAAGCTGCCGCATGCATAGACTCCTTGACTACACTTGATAAAACTGTATTCCAGGATGTAATATCTCTTTGAGGCATTTCATCAAACACGCTAAAGACATGGTCCAAATACCCACAAAATTTACTGTACAGACCCATTAGTGCATTTGCAACGAAAACACTTTCTACAAAACCCATTTTGATCACTAAGCTATGAACTTGCAGACCTAATTCCAGATGCAAAATCCTTATACAAGCAGTTAAAAGAGCAACAAAACTATACTCGTTAGGCTCAATACCTGCACTCCTCATTCTAAAGAATAGATTAATGGCTTCAACCTCTCGATTAGACTTAGCAAAACCCGAAATCAATGCAGTGTAAGACACGATATTGGGACAGGAAAGGCTCAAGAAAACCCTGTAAGCATCACGAACAAGACCAAGCTTGAGGTAAGCAGAAATGAGAGCGTTACCCAGGCGGGTATCTTCAACCTGGAGCTTGAGAAAGCAAGCATGCACAGCTCTCGCAAGCTCAGTGTCCAGGTACTGAACAGAGAGGTGAAGTAAAGAAAACAACCCATCAATGGGAGCGGGAGAGAAGAGGGAGGTGGAGGGTTCATTGAGAGCTGTATCTTCCACAGGTAAGACGGAAGTTTGGGAATCAGAGATGGAAGGGTACAGGGAGAGCAGAAGCGGTTTGCTGGAGGAGAAGAGATGATGGTGGTAGCGGTGGGGTCTGGGCTTGGAGATAGAGAGGGGATGTGTAGAAAAGAAAAGTGGAGATAAGGGTAGCGGCGGCGACAGTTTCGGAGGGAGGTGACGGCGGAGGAGACGGCGGAGGGGTTGGGGTTGGATATTGGTAGACATTAATTAACCATAGCTTATCCAGCATAACTGCTCTGCCTACCGATATAAACGTCTGTTAGATTTGCGCCGTCTATTTAGAAAATAAATTATGGGAAATCAGCTTTTTTTATTAAGTAAATTTTGCATTTATTAATATTCTAATTATTTCTTAAAACTAGATATTTAAGTTTCTAATAAAACAAATTTTTTTGATCTAATTCGAAATTATAAAAAATGAGTTTGTGATATAATTTGGTAAAATGTGGCTAACGGAAAAATAAAAAAATTATAGAAATAATAATTAAGTTGTAAATTATAATTTAAATTACTAGAAATATAGAATCAACCGTATAGATAGGCCAAATAGATTCAAAGGTCGGACAGATAGCTGGGTTGTCTCCTTCGCTAGACACGAAAATGAGATAGAACTGCGATTCGTCCGATGATCGCTTCTATTCCATGGATCAACCTCGCAAGCATCAGGTAACCTTTTCGTCTGTAATTTGTTCTTCTCTTTGATCCATCAATAACAGTTCTTGTAGCTTTTTCATCTTCCTCGTTGCTTGATTTGAGTTGCCGAATGGTGCTAATCAGCATCTGTTTCGTCAAATTCTAATCGCCCAGTCGGTTTTCATATCTCGGTCATGTTAGTTTCTCAAGAAAACAAGAATTTTCCCACTGCCCATGGACGAAGTTTCGTCTATGTAATTTTCCTGGGAACCTGAAAATTATGAAAAAAAAAAACAAAAATTAGTCAACCCTTGTTTAATTGTTCTTGATGGAAATTCTTGTTGGTGATGGGTTGATTAGGTATCCTTGAGGGGAGCAAGCGCTAAGGAGATTTCGAGGGATGCCCTACTTGAGAAGGTTTCCCATGAAAGAGAGCTGCGCAGTTATGCGAGACGAGCTAATGCAGCCGTACTGTTTATTCAAGTAAATTTCTTTATGACATTTTTGAGTTCATTTGGTGATAAGGAATGTTACGTGAAAAGGAAAAGCTTCAACTGAATCCTTCGAACTGTTACTTGTTATGTTTCTTCATAAAATGTTTGAAACTGATTGATATCTGCTCCAGCACTGGAAAAATAACTTGGTTTCTCTTCATTCCAGAGAGTCTGGAGACGCCACAGTATGACAAAGAAGACGGCTCTGCAGCTTAAGGAAGTGTGGGAAAACTCATTGAGTAATCATGCAGATTTAATGACTAGAGATTGGGTTTCAAGCCGCCTTTTGAGGCCATTTCTCTTCTTTATCAGTTGCTTATCTGTTCGGAATCGTAATATTCAAAATGGAGATGTCAAATGTATGCAGGATTGCTTCAAGATTCTGTTGGAAAGCATGAATTCTACTGGTATGCCATTGGGATTTCAATATTGTGTAATTGCAGCTCTATTTCTCAATTCAGTTATGGGCTTGTGGCACCATGGTGTTACTTTTTCTTGTACTATTTGATTTGTGAACTCCCATCTCTTCCAATATCAGTGTCAAAGGAAGCACTCCATTTAATTGGGGTTCTTAGTTCTATTTTGCTCAGTCATTTTTATACTCTGAATATAAATATCAAATCTATGGCAAGTTAAATGTCCTTTAAATGCTATTTTAAATGCTCTATTGAGGTTCCTAAGCTTGATATAAACTTAACAATGTACCACAGAGTTTGATAGTCCAAGATCTTGTCTTCCTAATTCCTAAATGATAGTCCTCTTTCAAATAATCTAGTTGTAACCTGAGTTGTATAAGTAGTTGGAATTTTTTCTATCTCCATCTTTACACTAAAGTGTGAAGATATCTTTTCATTCTCTTGCAGATCTAAATACATACAGGTTTCTGTCCCTCTAGTTGGTCAATTGGAATTGATTAAATTTTGAAAGAGTAGCAACCTGTTGCCTTTTGGGCTCTGAGGGCTTTATCTTTTATGATCAAAACCATCTGATATTTTTCTTTGTTGGGAAGTATACAAGGAGGAAGCTGTGAGCTTTTGGACTTCTCAAAATCCTGCTTAATGTTATCTGGGATCTTGAAATTCTCAAATTCTGGCTTGATGTTATCTGTTTTACCTGTCAATAACTAAACCAGTAGCTTTTTCTAATTTCATCTTTTTGAAACCTTTTCATATGTTCACTGTGAATTTTTGAAGACAGCTACGTGGACCATAAGTTGGTACATGTTTTCTGGAACCACAGATTGCTATGCATAGGAATAATGATGGTATAAAGTTTAGAAGAACCAAGAATTAAACGAAGAAAGAAACCAAGTTATGGAAATGAAGTTATGAAAAGAGCAAGATGGCCTCCGGTTGCTTGTGATTTTATAGTTGTCCTTGTATCTGTCTCATTGATCCCCTTGATTATTCATTTATTCTGCACTTTCCTTCAAAGTATGTTCCCTACATATAGTTTTAGTCACTCACCTAACTTTTCCTTTTAGCTTTCTTGTCTTTAATGTTTTTTCAAACGTTTATGCTGTCAATAACTGATATTCTGTCGCTTATTTGATGGCTAGATTCAAGGAGGAACTTCTGCTCATTGGCAGTTGGTACACTTGAAGAGAGAAGAACATGGACTTATCAAGCACAGAAACTGATTTCTCTCTGTTTCTTTATCCTTGCGGAGTGTGCTGCATCACATGGAAGGAGTCAAGATTTCTTTGTACTCACCTCTCTCGCATTGCGTCTTGTTGTCATCTTAACTGATCTGAAAGGCTGGAGAAGTATTACTGAGAACAATTTTCAGGATGCAGATGTTGCAGTAAAGAATTTAGTTCAGTTTCTGGGGACTCGCAGAAGTGGTCTTTTCGTAGCTACTAGAAAATACATAAACAAATTGAATGTTCCTTTTTCCTCGAAGATAAACAGTGTCAACCAGACCGATTATACGTTCCTGATTACTACTACTGCAATTACTTTAGCTCTCCGTCCATTTCACATGAAGTATGTTAATTCAACTGGCACTTTTGAGTTGGACATATGCCATGCTTCTGAGCAGTACTGGTCACATGTGCTTACTATTCCTTGGCTTACTCAACGTGTACCACCTGCTCTGCTACCTGCCTTGAAACACAACAGTGTTCTGTCATCTTGTTTCCAGATTTTACTGGTAAATTTGTTTTCTATATATAAATTTCTTTTAAAAGAGCATCATAATTTCAACTAAAACATGATGGAAGCGTTTCTGCTAGCTTGAACCCATGCCTTAAGTGGTATTACGAGCCATTCTGGAAGAGCTGTTGATTCAGAAATTTCTAATCTTCATTTATCTGGTATTTCATCCATTTTAGGTTTTATTAATCTCTAAGTCTATTAATAACTCCTATCTGAATACTTGTTAATAACTTGGAAGTTGTAACTATAAATATTTAAAACAATAACAAATTGACCGAAACTAATACGTTTTGAAGGTAAAGGCGGCCTCGTAAGGTTGAATTGTTTATTTGAAACAGTGGTGCTCAACAAGATTATCACTAACAATTTGTTACAGTGGAAACCTATTAGTCTTTACCTTCTAATATGTATTTCATGTGCTATCGCAGTTATGATATTAGTCACCTAGTTCTCCATTGTGATGTGGCGGGGCTGCTATGGAACTCTTTTCTCTCTTTGGAGAACCTTGAGTTTCATTGGGAGGTGCGGATATCTTTAGGATGCGGGTGTTGTGTAACACAATGCAAAGATTTTTAAACAGCCCGTTCAGTCCCCATGTTACCTTTGGGATAGAGCAGTGTTTTATCTTCCCTGTGAGCTAAGGCACATGGGTATCTTGGGGAGTCTCTTTGTTCATCCTATAAAGAGACTAAGCAGCTTTATCGTTTCTAGCTTTTCTTTTTCTCGGAGAATATTTTATCCCTCAATTTGCATGTCCTTCCTTTCCAATAAATTGACAATATATTGTATGAACAATAGCTTTTTTCCCCCCTCTGATGATTAATATATATAAATATATATATATGTATGTATAAGAAGTCAAAAGAAATGAACAATATATTTATTTGTGTTAACACCATATTTTATCCTACTTCCAAAAGATATGAAAAATATATGCTTATCATGTTACATGTGATTGCAGCTGTGCTTGTAACTAATTGATAATCATACATGTGCCTGCAGCTATTATGTATTTTTTAGCTTGATGTTTAAACAATTACTTGAATGAAAGTTATTGCAGTAGCTTTCTATTTTAGCTGGAGGTGATGTCCTTATCAAGTCACATGTTTTCTGGTATAATCTGATAAGTCCAGCTGGGAAAATGATGGCTTATATTAGAAATTTCCTTCTTTGAAGTGGTTTTAGCATTTCAGAAGGAATGTTATTTTACACAATCTTCTGTTTTTTATTTGGTCTTTTTTATAGAAAAACCGGCTATTTCATGAATTTTGTTATTTGACTATGGTGTTTTCCTTGTGGACTTACAAGTCTCACATTTGGTAATTAAACGAGATCAATCTGGGACTTCTTCTATTTATGAATGAAATTGCTCCTGTCGTGGATATTTTCATATGCGTTGTTTTCAAAATTGTTTGATATCACAGTGTTTGTTTGTATACAAACTGCATGTATTCTGTTCAGAATTGATAGTAACTCAACTTATTAAAATCCTAATTTTTATTTGGACTTTCTTAGATAATTGTATGATTCCAAACATGTGGGGGACTGATTAAACTATGGCAGGTAATGGCAGATTTCGAGGGATAAAATCTTGATGGAGATTTCAGATATGGATCGCTTGGGAAATCAGTGTTCCTCCATGGTGATTCCTCCAGTTGGATGGGCTCTTGCTAACATTATATGCCTGGTTACAGGAAGTGAGAGTGATTCTTCGGGTTTCAACCAAGATCTAGACTGTGCATCCTATGTCCACGTTGTGATAACTCTTGCAGAGAACTTCTTACCTTGGATTGACAATGTTGGTTGCAAAGATCATTGCAATTTTGACATTTCAGCAGAGCCCACTGGTACTATTTTTCATGAGGATGAAACTATATGCAAGTCCCTGAAGATGTCATACATGGACTTACTTAGACCTGTCTGTCAGCAGTGGCATCTTGCAAAGCTTTTAGCAACTTCTAGAGAGGTCGCTTCTGCTCATGGGGATAAAACTCTGTCAACAAACAACCCAAATTACTTATGGAAGTTGGAATTACTTGATATTACTTATTTCTATTCGCAAATGCTTAGAATATTCAAAGAATTGAATCCTGCGGCTGGGCAATTGCCTATTCTTAACATGCTAGCTTTTACTCCTGGATATCTTGTGTCTATATGGGGAGTTCTGGAAAGTTCTCTTTTCCCTGGAAATGGTCATTATGCTGAAGATACTTGTCGAGGTAAAGGTAAAGTTTCAGGGGATTCAAAAGATGGATTTTCTGAGAAAAAACAAAAAGATGCTAGTAAAGATGGTGTGAACAAATGGGTCAATGTGTTGCATAAATTTACTGGTAAATCACAAGCAGGTAGTGGTCACATAGATTTGGTCGAGGGCCAACCTGGGACCAGTGAGGTCAGTGAGGATTCTTCTGATGTTTGGGACATAGAAACTCTGAGGCGTGGTCCTCAAGGCATTTCAAAAGAAATGTCTTACCTGCTTCATCTCTTTTGTGCCACCTATTCACACTTGCTGTTAGTTCTTGATGACATTGAGTTTTATGAAAAACAGGTAAATTATTTACAAGTTTACTGACATATTCATAGTGGTAGGGTGATATTTACCTGGCACTTCTGACATGGTTAGGTTCCCTTTGTGCTGGAGCAACAACGAAGAATTGCATCAATGCTTAATACGCTAGTTTACAATGGCTTGTCTCACAGCTTGGATCAAGAAAATAAGCCTCTTATGGATTATGCAATCAGATGTTTGCATCTAATGTATGAAAGAGATTGCAGGCACCCATTTTGCCCCCCTTTATTGTGGCTTTCACCTGGTAGGAGGAGTCGACCCTCAATTGCACTAGCCGCTAGAGCTCATGAATTTTTATCAGCTAATATGAGAACAAATGATACCTTGCATGTTCCAAGCATTGGTTCTGTTATTACGACTACTCAACATGTATTCCCATTTGAGGAAAGGTAAGCATAATGTCCTGGCCTGCTGTCATGGCTCCACATATTTCTGGTTCAAGTTGTATGCTCAAGTCCAGGCTTCTCAAGTTGCAATAGGGGAAATAAAAAACTAATGGCATTGGCAAGTAACTTGCATGTCTGGATGCCTTTATGGTTAAGAACAATATATTGTATATCTAGCCTTTGCAAATCCATGTGTCTTTATGTATCCTGTTTTCGTGCATGTGAAAGAATCCATATTTTGTGCGTATTGTTATATGTATGTGAAGAAAATTGAGAGAAAATATTCTTCCTTTATTTGATGAATGATTTCCACACATATATATACAAGTCTACTACCCTAACAACCTAACAAATTCTGGAGAGAAACCTAACAAAATTCTATTTCTAAGGACAAATTTGTTGTAACAAATTTGTTGGTGATTCCCTCCATTTACAGCACATAACAGCTGTAAATGGTTCCTTCATTTACAGCACATAACAACTATAAATGGTTCTTCCATTTACAGCACATAACAGTTGTAAATAACCATTTTTAATCCTAATTTATTCTTCTAATTATTATATTTTCTACACTCCCCCTCAATGTAGTTTATGTATATGTTGAGTAAACCTAAATTGGATATTATGTCATCAAAGGTTCTCTTCGGAAGAGTTTTAGTTAGAATATCTACGATTTGTTGATTTGTTGAAATATGCATCAGAGTTATAGTCCAATTTTCTAATTTTTCTCTAATGAAATGACGATCAATCTTCACATGTTTAGTTTTATCGTAATGTATTGGATTTTTTGCCTTACTAATTGTTGATTGGTTGTCGCACCATACTTTCATAGGCATATTGTTGAGAACTTTTAATTCTTCAAGTATTCTCTTCAACCATACACCTTTACAAATACCATGAGCAAGCGCTCTAAATTCAGATTTTGCACTGCTGCGAGACACAACAGACTGTTTCTTGCTTCTCCAAGTAACCAGGTTACCCCAAATATAGGTATAATATCCTGATGTAGATCTCCTATTGTTTGTAGAACCTGCCCAATCCGCATCCGTGTAAATTTCAATACCCCTTCTATCTGTTTTTTGAAAGAATAAATCTTGTCCTGGAGTTTTCTTGAGATATCTCAGAATCCGATACACAGCATTCATATGACCTTCTGTTAGCTGATGCATGAACTGACTTACTGTACTTACTGCAAAACTGATGTCTGGTCTTGTGTGAGCCAAGTAAATAAGTTTCTCAACAAGTTTTTGGTATCTCCCTTTGTCAACCATTTTATTACTGATTCTGGATCCAAGTTTGATGACTGAGTCCATAGGGGTGTCAGCAGGCTTGCTTCCTAGCATCCCAGTCTCCTTTAGGAGATCTAGAATGTACTTTCGTTGAGAAACTGAAATCCCCTTTTTTGATCTAGCTACTTCCATACCGAGGAAGTATTTTAGTGTTTCAAGATCTTTTATTTCAAATTCTTTGGACAAGAATTCTTTAAGTTTCTGAATCTCCTCAAGGTGATCTCCTGTAAGAATGATATCATCAACATATACAATCAAAATAGCCTTTTTACCTGATATGCAATGTTTGACGAACAATGTATGGTCGGATTGACATTGTTCATATCCTTTATGTTTTACAGTTCTTGTGAATCTGTCAAACCATGCTCTTGGAGATTGTTTTAGGCCATAGAGTGATTTCTTCAATTTATACACTTTCTGAGAGTTGTCAGTTAATTTGAACCCTGGTGGTATATTCATATACACTTCTTCCAAATCGCCATTAAGGAATGCATTCTTTACATTTAATTGATACAGTGGTCAGTCAAGGTTAGATGCAAGTGAGAGGAGTACCCGAATAGTATTGTGCTTGGCAACTGGTGCAAACATCTCTTGATAATTTATACCATATGATTGTGTATAGCCTTTGGCTACCAGGTGGACCTTAAGACTGTTCACACTCCCATCTGGATTATATTTGGTTGTAAAAACCCATTTGCATCCCACTTGACGCTTTCCTGGAGGAAGATCAGTTAGTTCCCATGTCTCATTCTTTTCAAGTGCCTTGATCTCATCTAGGACAGCTAACTTTCATTTTGGAATTTCCAAGGCTTCATGTATTGTTCTGAGTTCAGGTGAACTGCTGTCTATCATGCTCATAAAATCATGATGTTCCGAGGATAATTTGTCCAATGAAACATAGTCCTGTATAGGATGTTTGGTGCATGTTCGAGTGCTCTTCCTCAAAGCAATAGGAATATCAGAATCAACGGAATCAAGAGTTAGGACAAAGATTACGTTACCTGGATCAGTGGGGAATTCATGGCAGTGCTTGGATGATTCGGGTACTTTTTCTTTGTTCCTTCTTGTATAGACACATAACTCACTCGTTGCAGGTAATGTGGTTTCTATAACAGGTTTTGGTTCTGATTTATTTTGTGTGGTTTTCGGTTCAATCTCCAAGGAAGGTTTGTTTGGTGATAGATTTTGTGGGTAGAGAGGTGGTACACACACATCCCACAACTGATATTCCTGAGTGAATGTCTCCCCCTGAATATCAGTGGTGGGATAAAATGGTCGATTTTTAAAAAGGTGACGTCCATGGTATTATAAAATTGGTGGGTTTCCGGAACTAGACATTTGTATCCTTTTTGATTTGCTGAGTACTCAACAAAAATACACTTTATTGCTTTTGGGTCTAATTTTTCACGAAGATGTTTATGAATGTGGATATATGCTAAACAACCAAATAATTTAAGTGGCAAAGTATTTAAGATGTAAGAATCAGGAAAGAGTTTTGAGAGAATAGTGTATGATGATTGAAACTGTAGAATACGAGAGGGCATCCGATTAATCAAATAGGTAGCTATAAGGACAGCCTCTCCCCAAAGATATTTTGGTACATGTGTGGTGAACATGAGAGATCTAACAACCTCAAGAATATGTCTGTTTTTTCTTTCGGCTATGCTGTTTTGCTGTGGAGTATGAACGCAGGAGGTTTGATGAATAATATCATGTTCAGTAAAGTATTTTTCAAGAGTATTTTCAAAATATTCACAACTATTGTCGGATTTCAATACTTGGATGGTAGCATGAAATTGGGTTCGAATCATTGTATGAAATTTTTTAAATAGGGATCCCACTTCAGATTTTTCCTTCATGAGAAATATCAAAGTAATTCTTGTATGGTCATCAATAAAAGATACAAACCGCCTAGTTCGGAAACGTTGGAAACCCTAGAAGGGCCCCAAACATTATTGTGAATTAATGCAAATGGTTTAAATGGTTTATATGGTAGACTATGGAATGAACTTCGAATATGTTTAGAAAATTGACAAACTTCACATTGTAATGAAACTGGATCTTTTCCTTTAAATAGTAGTGGAAATATTCTTTTTAAGTACATGAAGTTTGGATGTCCTAGTTTATAGTGCCACAATATAATATCATGATCATTATTTTTGGAAATAGGAACAGAATTTTCACATACTGCATTGTGAGCTTATCTTTTAGGGGTGTTGACTTGAAGCAAATATAATCCCGAGCTCATCCTAGCACTGCCAATCGTCCTCCCCGAGTCCAAATCCTGTAAATTACACATATTAGAAACAAATTTCGCAGCACATTTTAAATCTTCACATAACTTGCTGACAGACAACAAATTACAATCCAAATTCGGAACATGGAGAACTGAACAGAGAGTCAAATTTGGAGACAAATTTACAGAGCCCATTCCTGCCACTTTTGAGAGAGAACCATCTGCAATTCTGATTGAAATATTTTCTTCACATCTTCTGTAATTTTGGAACATTGAGAAATCACCACTCATATGATCAGATGCTCAAGAGTCTACCACCCACACCTGTCTTTTTTCTAAAAGAGCAGATAAACCTTGAATATTACCTTTGTGTGCCACAGAGGCATTGACCGAGTGAGATTTCTTGGACAAGATTTGTTGGAGGGTTTCCAACTGTTCAGGGGTAAATGGGTCTTTTCCCATCTCATCAAAAATTACTTCCTCAGCCGTTACGTAATTTCCTCGAAGCTTGCTGGAGGTCTCTGCTTTCGACATTTTCCACTCACCCGAAGGTGGTTTACAGTCACTTGGCTTGTCATGAAGCTTCCAGCAACGTTCCCGAGTGTGCCCTAGCTTCTGATAGTGGTCGCACCAGGGCCTTGTCTTCTTCGTTCGACTGTCAATCACTTGGGTTGTGAGAGCTGAAGAATTTTCAGTCTGGTGAGGTTGGTCATTCTCTCCTATCATGATCTTCCGACGACTCTCCTTGCGTCGAACCTCAGAAAAAACTTCTCGAAAACTCGGCAAGGGTTTGGTGCTCAGAACACGTTCCCGAATCGCGTCGAGATTTTTGTTTAGCCATAGCAGGAATTTGAAGACTCGCTTTTCTTCCACAAAGACTTTGAAGTTTTTCGCGTCCTCGGGGCAGTTCCAGTGACGCTCTTCGAAGGCGTCCATCTGCTGCCAATTTCGTCTAAGGATACTGTAATACTGGGTGACATTGAGTTCTCCTTGTCGAAGGTCATGAAGAGTTGACTCGATTTCGAATATTGCAGAGGTATTTTGCTTGCTGGAGTAGAGTTCCTGTACTGCCTTCCAGATTTCATGAGCAGTTTCGTAGAGAAGGAAATTCTCTCCGATTTCAGGAGTCATTGAGGTAATGAGGCAGGACATGACCATACTGTCTTCGATCTCCCAGGTTTGTGCATTTGCATCGGACGTTGGAGGAGGCATGAGCTCGCCAGTGAGGTGCCCATAATGCCCCCTTCCGCGGATGAAGAGACGGACAGACGACGACGACCATTAAAGGAAGTTGCTGCCATCGAGTTTATGTCCTGTGATACAGGATGGTGGTAGTTCACTCACAGCTCTGGTTGTTGCTGTGTGATGATAAGAACCAGATGAAACTTCTGGTGGAGAGGATGGAAGCTCACCCGAGGCCATTTTTGATTACGGCTCAGCAGGGTTTGATATCAATTTCTTTTTGGATCAGGTTTTGCTCTGATACCATGAAGAAAATTGAGAGAAAATATTCTTCCTTTATTTGATGAATGATTTTCACACATATATATACAAGTCTACTACCCTAACAACCTAACAAATTCTGGAGAGAAACCTAACAAATTTCTGTTTCTAAGAATAAATTTGTTGTTGGTGATTCCCTCCATTTACAGCACGTAACAGTTGAAAATAACTATTTTTAATCCTAATTTATTCTTCTAATTATTATATTTTTTACAGTATGACCATTAGAGAACACCATGTTTTGCGCTGTCCAGGTATTGTTATCTGGCAGATTTTCCCTCCTTTTCTGTTTCTGTGGGGGTAGGGAGTGGGATGGACTTGAGGGGTGTGCTTATGTATGTGTTGCAGGCATTTATAAAAATACATTTTTCTCCCTAGTTTACTATCTTATATTGAACTTTGTTCAGAATATTTATATAGTTTCTGTTCAGTGCTGTGCTTTATTTCCAAATGTTTCTTGCCATTTACCTTATAAAAGACATAACATCTACTTTTCTTTACTCCAGCTGTGCTTTTTCTTGACATGGTTTCTAATATGACAGAGTGCAAATGTTCAGAGAGTTTGTCAATATGGATAAAGCCACTCGGAAAATGGCTGGTGAAGTGACTGGACCCGGGTCACGATTGATTGAGATAGTAGTTCGTCGGGGTCATGTTGTTGAAGATGGGTTTCGACAACTAAACTCTCTTGGAGCAAGATTAAAGTCCTCCATTCATGTTTCATTTGTTAGTGAATGTGGGCTTCCAGAGGCTGGCCTTGACTACGGGGGATTATCAAAAGAGTTTTTAACTGATATATCAAAAGCAGCTTTTGCCCCCGAGTAAGTTGGCCATGTGTTTGCTACTTCTGTATATGTGCTTATCAAGAAAAAAAAAACTTAATGTATCTATTTCATTCTGTAAGGTACGGGTTATTCTCTCAAACCTCAACTTCAGACAGACTGCTTATCCCTAATTCGGCAGCAAGACATCTTGAGAATGGTATCCAGATGATTGAATTCCTTGGAAGAGTTGTTGGTAAAGCTCTGTATGAAGGAATACTACTAGATTACTCTTTTTCACATGTATTTGTACAAAAGCTGTTAGGCCGATATAGCTTTCTTGATGAACTATCAACACTTGATCCAGAACTCTACCGGAATCTTATGTATGTCAAGGTAAACCATCTTGACAACTACCACTCTGGGTGAGCGTATGCTTTTGTGATTTCTGCTTATATTAGATATTCCTAGCTCTTTATTTGTTAAGTTCTTGCTAATCTTGCTAAAGAATTACTAATCAACTTGCAAGAAGAGGTGTAGCTTTGGGTTT